ATCTTATTTTCACTTTACCGAGTGCCTAGTAGGTAATTTGCAGATTACCTAGATAATCTGAACATTACCTAGGTAATTTGAGAAATGGAATAATTTTCGCAGCTTTAACGGATCACCCTAGTTAATCTGCAGATTAGCTAGGTAATGCGCACATTAACGGATTTCGAGCTTTAGCGGTAACATATATATTTTTATATGTCTGTATTAATATTCATGTATTAAATATATTCATGAACTCTGAACTCGATTTCGACACGAAAGAAAGCTAGGCCACTGTTGCGCTCACCTTTCAATTTCGTTACTATATTTATTTTTATTTCAGTATTTGTTCAAGATTCATAATTGGATTTAGAATGCTTAGAATAACATTTCATTATAGTTTAGTATCTATACAAAGAATGCACCGCTCAAAAACACGCGACGTCACTCTAAAAGCTTCTCTTTGACTACTACACCAGTCCACCTCGCACTCGAAAGAAAGGAGTTCTGCCGATTATAGTGTTTATAAGATATTTATTGGTTTATTATACTGTTAATAAGACGTGCAGTTTCTTAGATTAAATGGTAAGATTTAGTAATTTGTCACGAGAAAGCCGGAATTCTCACTTACGCGCCAACGGGATAGCCGTTGCTGCCGAATGCTTTCTCGATAAGGTAATGTCCATAATTCTTATCGTTTCGTTAAGCTTTTGAGAAATACAATACTGTACTTAATAATGCTTACCTATCGTTTACGCTTACCGCATCGCGGTAGAAATGGAAGTGAATTCGTGCAGACATTGCCAGTGTTTGGCGTGTAATTGCGAGCCAACAAATCGCAGAAAGTTCGTGGCGGAACATTCTTAGGTGAAACGAAGTATAATTTCGGAGTAGTAAAGGACCGTGTAACGCTGTCATGTGACAAGCACAGAATACCCAGGATCCAATTGTTTGGGAGTAATGGGTGTCCTCGGATCCAGTAGGAGTTGGTTCAAGATCTAAACCACGCGCCGTCCTCCGTCATCATCCGATTCGTCGCTGTCGCCGGAACTGGAAAGTGAAAGTGACTTATTTTAAGAGGAAAGAAGTGAAACCGGTTATTTAAATAAATATGTTCATTTAATGAGGACGCTGATTGATCAGTCTTTATTCCGGACGTTGGATTTGGCTAGTTACGTCACCGTCCGTAGTATTAAAAGATTCGATTATAGGAATCAAATCAGAAACTGAGTTCTATGTTTAATAATTGTAAATATAACTGATTCGTGATTGATTTTTTAAACTGTTCAATTGAATGCTATCCGTTCTTCTTACTAAAACTTTTTTCAGCGAAAGAAGAAACGACTGTACCAAACACAACATGACGGGCAGAAAGAGCATGGCGTGGAGAGTAGAAAACACGCAGAGCAGCACTATTATCTTCATTATAACTAGAGTGAAATTAGCCGGAGGTAGCACAAAAGGGATGACACAAAGAACGGTGCTAAAGGATCCTTGCAAAATCGGAAGACCCACGTGCTTCACTGCATTCAGCATCTTGTCCACCGGATGCGAGACTTCGGCAGAAACGTAAGCGTAGGCCACGTGCGCGATGTAATCCACCGAAAATCCGGAAACCGCGATTAGAGTTATCATGGATATGATATTAATGCTGACTCCCCACCAGGTCATGAATCCGATGACTCCCACAGCCACGGACAAGATGCAGCAGGACACGCACAACGAGATGACGGCGCTGGGTAGAAGGGCGAAAGTGATGATTACGGAAGCGATGGCCGTTATTCCAAATATCTGAAAGGTGGAATAAATGGTCATTTCCGTGCTGTCTGCCGAATACAGGAGAGGATTGTAAACGATCAGCCCCAAGGAGGAAAAATCCGGACGGAATTGAAAAAATTTGTAAAATTCGGACTCCGTTTCGGTACTGTTCGTCTGCAACCAGATTCGACTGGCAACAATCTGACTGTAGTCTTCGTTGAATATGATGTCTTTTTTGAAAGTGTCCGTGGGTGGAAAGTTCAGGAAAAATTTTCTTAAAATAATAATAAAATCTTCCGTTCTGTTAAAATTGTATTCGCTGGTGAGAGACTTTACTTCGCGACTCTTCAAGTACTTTAGGTAAGTCCTCAGCCAGGATTGAGTGAGCGACGAATCGGCTATTACAGGATGCGATTCGAAGGTTCTGGTCATTATTTCTAATTCCTCTTGCACTTTCTGATTGGCGTAGTCCAGCGGCTGGGTGACCACTAATTGTATCCTCTCTTGATACTGGTTAAAGTTATTTTGCAGGGCGCTGACCGATCGCCATAAATTCGACTGATAAAACGTCAGATCGATGAATTTTAATTCGTTTTTCAGTTTCATGGCGCCGAACGTGCCCAACGTAAGATAGACTATCAGGAGTAAAATAACTGCAAGTTTAACGGAGAAATGGCGAAGAGCGTTTGTCGTACTATTCCATACACTTAGTAAAAATTTTGGCTGCGAACCCTCAGAGTAATGCCCCGTCATTTTCAATGTCTTTTGAAAGCATCCTTTGGCTTCTGTAAAAGAAAAACTATTGTCATAAGGTAACTGTTAAAGAATATACTTTTGCAGTAAACATTTCAGTATTATAAATTATTTGCGATATTTTCGAAGAGAAGAAAAGAGTAAAACACGTTACTAAATTAAGAAATAATGTTAAGGTAATTCGAAAGAGGAAAATTTCATTTTTACAAAAGACGGGAGAAGACATCAATGGTTTGATTTGGTTGGCAACGGAACACTTAGGCGACTGCCAAGAGATGTCCCTGGGAAGACTTTTTATGAGAAACTGACTCCATTTAGATGTTAAACACGAAAAAAACCCCAGTAAATGTGATCGAGCACCTTGATCGAGCACAAACCCACGATCTTTGTGCTCAATCAAGGAGCTGGCATTAACTGGCCAAGGAGTGCGTAAAACCACTCAGTTTTATGCACTCGGACCATGATTCACGCCATTTTTACAAACTTGCACTAAATTTTCTATAACAACGAGACATAAGACTGCATCACAGAACACATAGTTCATCGAACGGTTAATTATTTAGTTTTTCTTAAATTGTAAATGCTGCGAAGCGTTCTTCACCGTTTACATGACTGAGAAGATTGCATTGAGTTGTCCGTATCGAAAATCTCATTACAGTAAGATCATTTTCTAAAATATTTTACAGGTTAAGAAGAGTTAATATCTGGCTTTGTGATTTTTTAGTGTAGTTCTGTAAATCGTTCTGTAAATGGCGAAAGATTAATTTTGAGGGTAGGGATGAGTTTTATAAAACAAATAGAAATGGTAATAACGAGTAAAATCGTCATTAAGTCTAACGCTAACGGAGATATGTACGATTCCCTTTATCTTCCACCCCACGACATTTAACCACCAAAATTTAATAGCATCAATCCCGTAATACACAAACCCCCCTGCAAAATTTCATAAATTTTCGACGAAAAGCGCAGGACTTATTAGCTTCAAAGAGGGTGGACAAAATCGTGCCCCCAAACATAGACTAATATCCATACGTACGGAAAAACCCTCAATTTTTTTGCCATTTCGATGAGCCGAGTCCAAAGATAAAGCCTAAAAATCTTGGAGGTCATGTTTTGACCGCCCAAGACACTGTTTTGCTTAAATAATGGTAAAATTGGTATATGACTTCAAAGTTATACTGGGGAGTAGACGGTTAAATAATTTCTACTTTTCCCGCTGTTATGTAGGCTATAAGAGAGGAAAAGTATGGTGATCGGTTAAAAAATAACCCCAGATGTTTACATTTATGAATTCAGGGAACCTCTAAATGTCGACAAATGCAAAAAAATTCGGTGGTTTTCTGTACGTATGGATGTTACTGTTTGTGTGTGGGAGGTGCACGATTTTGTTCATCCTGTTTGAAGCTTAATAATTCCTATGCTTTTTGCCGAAATTTTCTGAAATTTGGCTTATTAGGAAATTGATGCTATTAAATTTTGGTGATTAAAAGTTGAAGGTGGAGAAATAAAGGGGATCGCGCGTGTCATCAGTAGCGTTAGACTTAATGGCGATTTTATTCTTTATCATTTACAATTTTTTTTATAAAACTCATTTCTATCCTTAAAAGTAAGATTTTTGTCATTTTATAATAATTAAAAATATAAAAATTTTTAAACAAAATATAACAGATGGTGTCACCAAGTCGGTCCCGGGAAAGTTAAGCAACTCGTTGCTGTAGTTTTTTAATGATCCTATTAAGTGTTCGTTGTAGGGCGATTAGAGTTTGCAGTGTTTATGTTTAGTTGCTAATTATTCGTAGAGAAGATGCAGGCGCGGATCCAGAAAGTGACAATGGGGAGTGTTCCTTCTGATATTTTTTATCGGTAAAGCAAGTTTTCCGTCTGAATATGTTATAACTTTCAAACTTTTCCACCTTGTTTAACGAATTGAAACGTGATGCATAAACCTTTCTTTAATAAAAAAATAATTAACATTGTTTAGTTTATTACGCGAATTAAAAATCACTCCGTGAGGTTTGCTCCTGACTCCGTAACTAAAAAGATTATAAACAAAATGATTACTCACTGTTCAGATGTTTATCTTTAATAGGCATAAATGTGATCGAGTGTAAATTTTTTTCTTCGGCGTATCCGCAGATGGCAAATAATCCTCCTATGAAGGTGATTTGATAGATATAATCGAACACCAAACAGCAGCAAATATAGCTACAATAGATGTTACACCCCAAAAATGTAGTAGCTACGGCTCCAATGAAGAAGCAAACTATGTTGGTAAGTGACGTCAGAGTTATGGAAACTGCAGAAACAGAGTACGTTTCGCCTAATCTTTTCTCAACGTTTTGCTTGCGATCACTTCTTCTCCAAGCAGAAAGAAGTACGAATGTATCGTCCATGCCTATACCTGAAAATAAATCAATGCCTAAGTAAGCCTGAAGGCAATTTCGTGGCGTTAGAACACGATGCGAGAAAAGCTTCTCCTCCTTAAGCGTGCTAGTTTAAAATTTAAAAAAGTGTATTTCTTACCCAAAATAAGGAAAGGCACTGTTACGTTAAAGAAAACGTGAGGAAAACCACAATACGCCATCAAACCAAATCCGGAAATAGTAGCCATTGCCGACGATAATGCCGTTCCTATAGCGATCCAAGGTTTTCCTTGTATACAGTTAGGCATGAGGCAAGTCGTTACAGTAAAAGATATCACCAAAATACCCGCAATAATTATGTACGGCAGAGTAACGACAGGTGCTCGACTCACTTCTTTTTCCAAAGACGTCGATACAAAAATCTCGAAGTTGATATTTTCTAATTCTAACGAATTTAACACATTGAGAAACGTACTTTCCCATAGAAGCGCAGCCGTTTCTTTTCGTTTATTGCTGTTATCTAAGAAGTAAGTTAGTCTCAAGGCTCTGGCGGAACTTACGTAACCGTTTTCATCCAGAGTAACGCCTCCTAAATAGGGTGGAAGAAACAATATTTCGGTTTTACTTATCCACATAAGAGGATATTTAAGGAAATATTTTCTTTTTTCTAATCTCCCTATTGTGGAGTTTAGATCCAAAATGCTGTTTCTGAAGCATTGCTCTTCGTTTCTGGCACACAAATCTTTATACTTTAGAACGTCTCCGTCTAGAAGAATGGAAATATTTTGTATGAAATGATTTAGTTTTAGTATGTCATTAAATACGTATTGACGAAGAACGTTATCGCCGTATTTAGACGAAATTATGACTGTTCCGAATCTTCCAGTCGTCGTAATTCTTCCGGCATCGAAATTAGAAGAAAGATTCATGCGAAAAAGTGATTCTATCCTTTCCCTATAATAAGGGGCTTTGCTAGTTTTTGGAGTCGTCAGAGTTTCTATGTCGTTAAGATCGTACTTCTTCTGAAGTCCCGTTGCTAGAAACAACGAGGAAAATATCGGGAGCACAATGAACCATTTAGGATACTTCGCTATCCGACAGCCCAGTTGACGAAACCGGTTGGAAAGAACTTTATATAAAGGGTTACAGGCCATAATTACTGCGAAGTCCTGAAAATAAAACAATTTATGCAAATTTAATAAAGGACAGCATACCCGATATTCATAATATAAATATAGACATAAATGGTATAATTGCTTCACCGTTGTCCGGCAATTAATAAACAAATGTCGAAAATAGGCTGTTACCGAACAAATTAAATCAAGCTTAGTTATATCGATATTAAAAAAAAGGGTAAAAATGCGATATAGCCAATTACCGGCCGATTATTACCATTCCCGTCTTGGTAAAAATTATAGAAAAATCTTAATGAAAGACTCTGAAAGTACATAAATAGATTGAACGTCATTCATCGTTACCGATACGTCTACAAACGTCATTTCCTCACAATAGATGCATTGCCGCATTTTAAACAGGAAGTCACTGATAAACTAGATAAATGTCATTTGATAATGGTGTTATTTATAGATTTGTCTACAGCTTTGACAGCGTGACCTCCGAATTCTTGGGGAGGGAGGAACTGTACAACATCGGATTAAGAGGCCCTCTACAATGGTTAATGTCATATTTATCAAGTCGCAAATATCACATAAAAGTCAATAACTCGCGTTCAAACTTTTTAATACCATAAACCGAAATCCCCGAAGGATCAATATCGCCGCTTTCGCTTTTAATACAGTATATACCTAAACGACCTGTTAGAAGTCATGCCGGAAGATGACATTATTGTTTATTCTGACGATATAACTTACTTATAATACATTCTAACGAAAATATTCAAGTAGCTCTATCCGAATAAAATAATATACTAGATAGGTTCACAATTATACGAGCTTAAATAAGATTAGAGTAAACAAAATATCTGTTTTGCAAAGGAAAATAAAACCGCTAATTTTGAGCAATTGCACATAAAAATAAGCGAAAAGATGTAATAATAATCAATAATATAAAGTACTTGGGCATTTTGATAAACGACAAACTTAGATACGACTTACAGAGATTTAAAACGCTTGCTAAATTAACAGAAAGAATGATGAAAATTCGAAGTTATTTAAACATTAATATCATAAAACATTTATATCACGCACGTATTGAACCAAATATTAAAACGGAATTGAAATCTGGTGACTGCACCAGATTACAGTATAAATCGAATTCAAATACGTCAAAATTGTTTTATTAAAGTCATACGCAATCTGTAAAATAACGCAACAGTTTCCATATACTACCACAATATAATAGAAAAATAGACAATATAAAACAAATACCGCTTAATTGCTTCAAATTTATCAAATTTCAAACGAACGGTTGCTATCTTCCTGATACAATGAATAAACGCTGTGAAAAAATACAGTCATAATATTAACTACAACTATTAACACTGGCTTCAAAACAATCGATTGAATAAGCTGCTCCAATATATCAGATGATAAAATACTGGAACTCTTTAACAAACGAGTTACAGGAAACGATGGATAAAAATTCCAACAACCAGTTGCTTAACTTTTCCGGCAACATTTAAAACTGCGTTTGGCACCATCTGTTATTTTTATTAAAATTTTTTTATATTCTTATATAGCTACATATTTGGCTCTTAGTTTAGGACTTATCACACTACGTTTTTAGGAAACTTGACTCGGATCTTTTTATTTTTTTATTAAATCCTAACTCCAATATTCCGGTTCCCCCTTTGTTCAGGTACATATTAGAGTCGGAATTTAATAAAAAATAAAAAGATCCGAGTCAAGTTTCCTAAAAACGTAGTGTGATAAATCCTATACTAAGAGCCAAATACGTAGCTTAATAATAATAAAATGAAAGAAGAATAAAAAACGTTTTATATTTTCAATTATCGTAAAATTGCAAAAAGCTTAATTTTGAGGATAGGGATTGGTTTTATAAAAAATTGCAAGTGTTAATAACGCGTAATATCGTCATTAAGTCCGATCCTACCTCCACCTGCAACCACCAAAATTTAATATAATTCCCCTATACAGAAACCTCCTCGCAAACTTTCAGAAATTTTTGATAAAAGGCACAGGAGTTATTAAGCTTCAAAGCGGATTAACAAAATCATCTCCCACATACACACGTACAGTACATACAGAAAAAAAAACCCAACTTTTTTAGAATTTTACAGCGTTTCAAAGTCCCGAGTCCAAAATTGTAAAAATCTCGAGGGGACGACCGATCGCCATATTTTCCCCCTGTTATATATAACAGATCGAGGTAAGTAAAAATTCAAAAAGGCCATTAAGGATAACTCGCTTAGTCATATCCCGACAATACATTACGAAGTCTTGGAATTGAATTGCCTGACATCGTAAATGGCTGGCACCTTCACTGCAGCGCAAATTGACGGTTAAAATGTCGCACTGAAATACGACCTCGAAGATGAAACAGCAACTGTGAAACTAACCTAAATATGGAGAGATGTAACCGAAAAAATTATGTTTCTAGTTTAATATTTACTAATCATTTTTTTGTTTTGTTTTTTTTGTTATTGAGATGCTTGTAAAAGGCAAAGACCATAGCATCTTAAATAAAGTAAATAGGTTTTTAAATTAATAAATTATCACCGAATTTTTAAATTATAATGATGCAAATACATATATACGCTTTGTTCTGAAAGTAAAATATCATCATTAAGAGCTTTTGCTAAGTTACAGCCCACCTAAACCTTATTAAAGAGCTGTTACCGAAATAGAAATGATGATAGAGCGATCTTTTGGTGATTATTTTCATAGTAGCCACCACTATCTCTCTCAGTTGTCGCTGCAAACGTGCGAGTGGAGTCGAGCTTTAGACTACCAAAACTGTCCTGCCAAACCCCTTACAACTTAAAATGTCTCATCGAAGAATAAAAATTTAAGTTTTATAGTTTTGTCTTATTGAAAATATCAAAATTATCAAATATTTTGTGCTCCGTCTTAAATTTTAAAAACTCCAATTGCTTAATTCTTTTTGAATTGACTCGAAGATCTGTATTTTGCGGGCCCACTAGTAAGCGGTATGTATGAAGACGTGAAGGATTGTTAGTTAGTCGCGGGTTTACGCCTCACCAACGGGCTGGCCACGCGCAGTTTTCTGTATTTTGTTTACGCGTGTAACACCTAAATAGGGACCAGTTTCCGAGCCGAATGTTTCCCGGGAGGCATCCCCTCTTGGGTGATCTCCCACGTGTTGTGTCGTTTGTCCGCGATCCAAGGAGTGTAATGGATGATCCTGTAGATAGTTTTTACTCTGTTCAGTCAATATTTAATTAACATCGCATAGTGGATTCTGTGAAGAAAAATACCCCAATAGAGCAAAGTTCTAAGTTGTTTTTTAATCAAATCCGCTTACGCGTAAACGAAGCATTATATTATGTCAACGTTAGCGATGGATGCTGGATAAACTCAATGAATTCAAGTATAGACTCGTTTTTTACAGTCGTGATGCGAGCAGTTGAGAAATCGCATATTAAGAAATCGAAATGAATGCGATCTGCGATGGACTGTGAACGCTGAGGTATGAATTTTACTTAACGTATTATGTATCTTATTATATTTACGCGCATTAAACATGCCCTACGCTTTTTGAAAGGAGTAACTTTTTATGAATTTATACTATACTTCCAGTTTCGACTCTTTATTCATTTTCTTAACATATTTCTCATTCTGTCCAGTTATGGTTTGTTTTGATTCTTTTTTCTCCGTGAGAACTAAGAGGGGTTTCTTCTTATCAAGCGCATCTTGGGTTCGAGCAGACTGTGATTTGATATGGGTTCGACCAAATGTGGATCCTGGTAGCGAGAGACGGGGTCCGACCGCCTGAAAAAATTCCAGGACCTACGAGAGCTGTAGTCTACTCCTCAATCGCTTCATTCATCTGGCTGGCCATCACTTCGTTAAAACTATTTACTGGTACTTCCTTCCATCTTTCCTTAAAATAATCACATTTTCATCTCTTCGTGACTTATTCTCCTTTTTCATCGGTTCAATAGATTGCATCTACTGTAAACAATTTTTTAAATAATGTTAAATATAATTTCTTTTTTCTTTTATCAAGATTTCTTTTTATTCGTTTGATTCGAAGCATTCGTCTCCGTCGGCGTAATTGAAATTTCTCATCCGTTCGTCCCTTTTTCAGTGCAAATTCTGTTTGACACAATTTTCCGTTAAATTTAATTTCGTTGAAAGATACAATTCTTTGTTTATTGGATAAAAACACTGAATAGCGGTATTTGGCCGCACGGAGTTCTCCGGATTTTCTTCACATACGTAAGACGCTAATGGGTGCCATTTTCCATAGAAAGTCTTCCTCGGGTCGTCCAAGTGTTGCGTGACTTTATTCCATTAATCCAATCCTTTCTGTAGTTTTTAATAAATTACAATCTAAAAGCCAGCAGATGGAAGAAATTATAATTTGTTGAAAAATGTAATAAAATAATACAAACGGAACAATTAATTTGCTATCAAACAATAAATTGGAATTTTAAAATTATGTAATACAGTAGAACCTCGAAAACTCGGCCTAATGTGGACCGAAGGGTGGCCGAGTTTGTGAAAATGCCGGGTTATCGGAAATGGGGTTAAAAAAAATAAGTACGAGTGTTTCCTCAGAAAATACTGTACTGTACTTGTATGTATTGTTTACTTGAGAATATAACAGAGAATAAACTGCCCAAATACCCTTAAACAAAGGAAAAGTACG